GATGGTGTGTGGTGAGGAGAGGAAACAGAAAAAGGAGACAGTGAGGAGGGAAGGGTGTAGACAAGGTGGAAATACAGATGGTTGAATTAAAGGAAGGAAAGGGGACAGACACACCTGTTAGCTGAGAACAAGTGATGTTCTCAAGAACTGACAGTTATGGAGGTTTGTACATTAGCAGCACGACAGTTTTGTCGTACAGCAGTTTGGAAGTGGGTTTGGACATCCTGAAGTTCTGTCTCTAGAGAGTCCACTCAACCTGTGCCCCATAGTTGTAAACCATTATAGGCTGTACCACATAATGGAGAGTTTCATGCACTTGTTTTGTGTTTAAGCCAAAGCCTGACATACTACCATTTTTGGCTGAGGCTAAAGAAACTAATCAATCAGGTCTTAAAGATAATTAATTGACTTCCCAGCTGATGGATATCGGCCCCTTTGGCTGAAACCCATTGGATTCAAACAACATCTCTCTCACACTGCTTTTGTATTTCTCACTTTTCCCAACACTCATCCGTGTCTCTCACTTTCTGTCTCGGTTTCTTGCCTTTCATCTTGCTTTCTTTTCTTCTTCTCTCTCTTTCTTTCTGTGTTGCATAACTTGCTGACCCCTCCTCTCAAGTGCCTTCTTTGTATATTTTTACTTTTCATGGCTTGCATTCTTTCTCAGGCTAAGTTAATGTTGATCCTGGGAGCTGCTGTTTGCACTCAACCCTACTACAGATTATTTGTGTGTGTGTGTGTGTGTGTGTGTGTGTGTGTGTGTGTGTGTGTGTGTGTGTGTGTGTGTGATAATGCACATACAGTTTGCAGAGTGAGAATGTGTGCGTTTTACGTTTGTTTTGGTGCATTCTCTGGACAGCCTTTGATCTCCAGTGTGTGTATGTGTGTGTGTAATATGTGTGTTGCCTTCCTCCGTTCTTGGCTCAAAGTTGTTTTTCTTGGCCTCTGAGTAAAAGGTGTTGAGTGTCAACAATTTGCTACTGAATCATTTTCTGCACTGTATTGTATTTTAGGGGATAGTTGATGGTGTAGAGAGGCAGGAAAGGTCAGAAGACATAAAGGAGAAGACTCGTGCACGGATCCGGGCTCATATTAAACCCTGGCTGGTGTGGTCTAATGGCATGTCCCCTTTAGACCACTCTTATAATCTTGATGTCACATCTGGGCCACTGGGGGTGCGGTCTGGGTGCCAGCCCAAATTGTAATATAATTGCTTGCAGTGTCAGATCTCTTTACATGAGCTGCCACTGCCTCATTTATCAGCTGTATGCATCTCTGTTTTTCTAATTCTTGAGGACATTTAATTTCAGCATGTTGCAATACACATTGTCCTCGGGTGGGTTCATTGTGAAGCCTTGCTAGTCTTTTGTATTCTGTACATTATGACGTGTATAATGCAGTGAAAATCAGAAAAGTGGTTTGTCTTAAGTTAATGAAAGACATTTTAAAATGACTGCAATATGCAACTTAAAAGAAGCTCCTGTTATCTTACCAAGGTTTAAGATGCTCCTAACAAGATGTTGTGCTGCGTTCAACACCTCCAGTTGTTTTTTTGTCTATTGCTCAGCTAAGATAGGGGCTCTGCAGTAGTGGGCGAGTTCTTTTTAACCTATGAACTACCTGAAATCCCCGACAATGAATCATTATAACGTGTAAAAAATAATATTCTGTGTTGCAGTTGCTAGTGTTACATCATCATTATCCTTTAGCTTTAGTGTAAACATGGACAGTTAACATGGAGCTAAAGCCCCAAATCACACATTTACCCCAAAGGGCTATAGAACCTGTAAAAACAAAGTTCCAAATTACTTATTTATAAAATACTGTAGATATGGAATTTGTTAAATAGATATGTATGAGCCCGAGTGGTTTGGCACAACTCTAATGAAAAATACGTTTAAATCATATTGTATTTAATCAGATGAATGTTGTAGGACAAAATGTGACACACACACGCTTGAGGGAGAGGATTCAGGGATCTCAGTGCATTAAACATCTGTATTATAGCACACACACACACACACACACAGAGCACTTTGGGCACATTGTTTTGTCTGACCCAAGTAAGACCTCACCTGCTGTCTCTCAAGATCAGACAACTCCTTTCATCAGACGATCACAGATATACAGAGCGTGCACGTGTGTGTTTGTGTGTCGTTTGTTTGTGTCGGCACAAGCTATGTAATGTAATTGTGGAATTGAAATGTTGATGCATGACTGGTCTTACGTTATATATCTGTAGTGTGTTTATTAAAGGCAGACCCAGTGCGACAGACAGACAGCCCTGCATAGAAAGCTCTCTGTGTCAGCTGTGATTGCTGCTTGATCCTCTCTGGCTGCGACAGAGACTGCAGCGAGCAGCTGGAGGAGAGACGTCGCTTCTTTATCTCCCCTCCTGCTCCTCATGTCTTCTGCCTTTGATCTCCTTCTCTCCTCTCCTTTTTCTCTCCTCTCCTCGGGCTGTTTCTCATCGTGCTCCTTTGTCCATCTGGAGCTCTGTTCTACTGTGTGTGTGTGTGTGTGTGTGTGCGTGCAGTCACAGATCAAGTTGCTGTTCACTTTTGGAGCAGGACATCATTTTGAGTGTCAGCCTCCATTCCTCGGTGGCCCCATTGTTATTTATTGCACAATAGCATTGCTTCTGAAGGCAGGAAATGCAATACTCGCCTGTGATGTTGGCAACAGAATCGGTGCCTACATGTGTGGACTGGTGAGCGATTGGGTGTGTGTTGCATGTGTGTGCGTGTAGAAGAAACTTTTCAATCTTAAGTGAAAGGCTCTGGACACCAGAGCCTGTTGGATATTTGAGGCCCAGACGATATCAAAAATGTTTGATGCAATGTATTCACTGATTTCTTTTCTTTTTTCACAAACGCATTATACAACATTTATTTTTCCTATTATGATCTCTTAAACTTCAATAATAATATTAATAATAATAGAATTGTGACCAAGATAATATGCCATGCATTGAACAGCAAAGGTACTTTTAGGTGCTTGGCCCAGTGGGGCACGCTCACATGCACTAACATGCACTAAAAGTAAGCGTGGCCGGCCCGGCTATGTCAACCAATGCGTGAAAAGCTTGTGTAACAGCACACGCAGAGGGAGAGCGACTTCATTCTCTGCTCAGATAGACTCCACTGTGTCTTTACATAGACAACAGCTCTTTGCTGCAATATTCATTTTCAGAATCCTCTCTATTGTACCTTCAAACTTGTCAATGCTGTTTAGGGTACAACAAATTGAAGTTTCTAATATCTACCGGAAAAAACATCCAATGTCTTCACTCTTTTAAATCGCCTTCCAACTGTTTTGTCCTTGTCTCACTTTGTGGAATGTCTCTCTCTCTCTCTCTCTCTCTCTCTCTCTCTCTCTCTCTCTCGCTCTCGCTCTCGCTCTCTCTCTCTTTCTCCCTCAGGAGGCGGTGGGGAGGGTTTGTCTGAAGGAGAGAGGACGGGACGTGTTGGTGTTGCGGAGAGTGACATCATCAGTGACGTCACCGTCGGACCGTCCCTCACCCACGTCGTCGGGGGGCGGATCCAGAGAGGAGGACTGCGACAAGAGGTCAGTACCTCCTCCTACATAATAAGAGCCCTCCAAACCAACAGTAGCAACAAAAACATAATCATAGTACTCCTCCCTCTTGTTTTCAGTTTTCAGACTTTGTGATGTCAAGTTGCAACTACACACTCTCGCACGTACATGCAAAATATCAGCAGTGCTGTCAACACTGTGTGTGTCGACAGATAATGTATGCTTCAGCTACTGGCACAGAGCAGGAGGAAGAGAATGGCTTTTTTGTTTTCAGCTGAAAGGGAAACAAAGATGACACCCAGACTGGTTTACTTCCTTCCACAAATCAGTGTGTGCATTTAGGACCATTTGTGTGTGTTTGTGCGAAATATTTTCCTCAAAGTACGTTTCTTTGTGCGGTGTCTGTGTTTGTGTGTTTTATGGGGCCAGTCTGTGCCAAGACCTAAGGCACAATGCAGTGAGTGTCAGTGACAGGCAGGTTAAGTGGGTATGTGGGTATGTCTGCGTGTATACAGTGTTCAGCATCTTCAGTAGCAATCAGTCCCCTCCGAAGGCTACAAGCTGAGGGAGGGTTTTAATCTCCGGAGCTCTTAGCTGACTGGAAGGCAGTTTACACCACAGGAGAGCACCCTCCTGGATATACAGGGTTTAGATGAGGGCGGATCATCTGGAAGTGTTTAGATATGAAGATGTCTACCGAGCTAGCTACGCTTGCAGAGGCAGAGGAGGACATACATGATGAAGACGAGGAGGACGATGATGATGATGATGACGTGAATAGCAATGATGATGAAGATGGTAGCAGTTCAGAAATCTGTACATTTGACGTTCCCCATTTTCGCTACATCGATGACGACGATGCGGAGGAAGGGAGGGAGGGAGGATGGAGGAGTGGATGTGGTCGGTCTTGGTGCTCTAGTGAGGAAGACTGTTGCAACTCTTCCTCCTACAGGTATGTGGTGGTGTCGGGGACACCGCTCAAGATCTTGGAGCATCTGCTAAGTGACCTGCGGTTGGACGACCAAAGAGGCGCGCAAGAGAGCAGGGAGAGTGGTGAGTTTGTCAACACATGTGTGAACACACGTGTACACATGTGTAAGAGGGCGACTGTACGAACAATGTGTGTGTATCTCCATAAAAAGATAGGAACATATAGAAAGTATAACAGTAAAACAATAGTTAGTGGAAAGTTTGGTCATATAAATAAAGGAGCCGTGGTATTTTTCCCGGTTGTTGGTCTAAAGGTTTGTTTAAAACAGAAGAACTCCCCGCCCTCTCATTCCATGGGATTTCATTTTCATTGCCACACAACAAGTTTCAACACAGCCCAGCCTGGACTTTTCTCCATCTCTTTCATTTTCCACACAGTGGGTTCAAACCTGGGAGGTATGCACTTCCCCTTGATCGTGGTGTGTGTGTGTGTGTGTGTGTGTGTGTGTGTGTGTGTGTGTGTGTGCGCACATTCATTCAGCCAAGTCATTGCCTATAAATCTGTAAATATGAGGAACATTCAAGAGGTTAAATGCTCTAATGAGTCTGTGAAACGATTCCCTCGAGGGGCTGTAGGCATTTCTGCTGCAAACAATTTCAGTGGGCTGTTAATATGTCATTTTCACAATCAGTCCACCTTATAGCTACTGGGTGCTTTGACTGTGCCGCAGTTGTCTGGAAACATTTTGTCATTTGTTTTTTAGCACAAAGACCACATTAAAGTAGGACTTCAACTCATTATTTGCATTTTTATAAATGTTTATCATTTTTTACACATAAGTTAGAGAGAGAGAGAGAGAGAGAGAGAGAGAGAGAGAGAGAGAGAGAGAGAGAGAGAGAGAGAGAGAGAGAGAGAGAGAGAGAGAGAACTGAAATGGTCTTTGTGGTGGCGAACCGCCTGATATTTATTCACTGCACTTTTCATTTTGTTTCTAAGGAGGCAGAAGCAGAGATGTAGATCAAGAGTATATGTGCATGTTTGGCTGTCTTTGTCTCTGTATCTGTGTGTCAATCTTTTGGTATATGTATGTGCACTGAATAAGCATGAGGGTGTGCGCGCGCTAGTGTGTGTGTGTGTGTGTGTGTGTGTGTGTGTAGGCACTCTGGGGTGGTACTGAGCATCAGTGTGCCGTTTTAGTGGGCTTAGCTGTGCAGCATGTTGAACAGGCTCGAACATGCTTCCACAGACAGACAGAGAGAGTGAGAGAGTGATTACCCCAACCACTCCTCCCCGTGTACACATAAAAAACACACGCACACAACAAAAAACACAGCAGCAGATAACCGCGATGAGTTCAGCACACACACATTTTCTCTCTTTTTCCTTTCTCTCTCACAAGAGATAAAGACCCCAAGGTCAGAACTGAATGAGTTATTCATCAGGGTGCTGTGTGTGTGTGTGTGTGTGTGTGTGTGTGTGTGTACTGCTGCGTCTATGAGTGCATGTGTTTGACTTTGTGCGTGCCAGCGGGCAAACGCAGAGGGCATATGTTGAAGATAAAAATGGATATTTATCATCACAGAGAACTAAGAGAGCACGAGAGTAGTAGAAGGAGAGAGAGAGACAGAGAGAGAGAGAGAGACGGTCAACAAGGAGCTCTAGAGACAGTGAGTCAAAAGGGTTGACTCAGTCAGACCTGCCTGAGAAATGTTCTTGAAAAAAGTTGATTTTTAAATTTTATTTCTAAAGAAAAGACAGTTGATCAAATATTAATGCCGCAGCCTTCGTTCAGTCTTCTATAATTGATTTCTTTGCTCTCTGCCTGGCAGAGCCATATTTGGGTCACACATTTGCCCAGAGAAAGAGTTTGACACCACACACACACACACACACACACACACACACACACGCACACACATCACAGCTACCTCACACCAACAATGGCTCATTACCCATCTGCCACGAGGGCTGTTTATATTCGGTTCTTACCCATTGAACACCTGCTGAGTCTCTCTCGCACGCACGCACGCACACACACACACGCACACACACACACTTGCCATCTTGCACATTTGCTCGCTCTACACTGATGAATTTGTGTAGTTTTTGAAGTTGTTGTGAAATTGAGCCAAGATAAATAAATGATTGCTTTGATTCTTTCTAAAGTATATTTCTATTATATATCTTTGACAAAGTAGTCAACAATCAAAGCTAATCTTTTTTAGGGAAAGCATCTTATAGGTGTAATAGTAATTTATTAAAACTTAAACTATAAAAAACTCTGATAATCTTCTTCATCATGACTGTGTGGGTGTAGATGGAAAACATTGTTTGGCACAATAACTAAATAATATTTAACCTCTTCAATTCCAAACTCATGCTGTGCAACCGAATGTTGGTGAAACCCACTGAACCTTATTTTGACTTTAGTGGAGATCCCAAAGTCTGCAAAGATGCTAAATATGTCAGACTTGATGGAGTGGTGTCGCCATAAAATACACATCATCTTTTTCGGTTGATATGGCGAATGTGTTTGCAAAGATTTGCATATTTCCACATCCAACAGACACAGAGCAGCATTAACATTCATTATGAGTGATGAATGTAAGTCCAATTTTCTTTTAGCTCCGATTTTTGTTTCCACCAACTCCTGAGGGAAATATCTGGCTCTTTAGCTGCTAAATGCTCCGCTGTGTTCACCAGCTGTCAGCTAACTTTGTCCATCAGCAGCCCCGTTCAAATTAAACATAGTTATTTGATCCATTGTTGATCCATTATTTATTGCCACTGCTTCAAATTTGTAATGTGGCAGACGCATAGAGGACACATTGATTAGTCTACATTCATCCACGTAGACTGAAGGAATCAGAGGTGAAGAGAGGGACAAAGGGAGAAACTAAAACATACTTTTGTTTGTGTTTTCACATTTTGATTCTGCAAGGCCTTGGAAGTGACTGATGGTGTGTTTCCTTTGTTTCAGAAACACTGCTGGATGACTTCCTGTTGACCTACCTGGTGTTCATGTCCACCAATGACCTCTGTCAGGCTCTGCTTGGACAATATCCTTACTGGCAAACATACTCTCACACACACACAAATCCTTTTAGACTGCTCCACACTGTTCTTCGTTGTCTCCTTGACCGCTCTCACCTATAGCAGCGCCCGCTGCAGGGGCCAGGAGGAGGGCAAAGACGCCCTCTTCAGGAAGCGCAAAGTACTGCAGCTGGTCTCCCACTGGAGCCGGCTCTACAAGGACTTCCTGAAGGAAGAGGAGCACGTCAGGAGCTTCATGAAGGTACGGCACTGCTCGCCTTCATCACCACATCCGTTTGCTTTCTTTTCACTACAATGAGTTTGATCCTGTGGTGGCCTTTCACACTCAACATAAAAAGCCTCATTCATCTTCATTTGTCTCTGTGTCTCTCGTTCTTGTATGGGGTTGTCTTTCTGACGACAGGACATCAAGCATTTTGTGGAGAGAGACAGAGAGCTGAAGAGTGTGCGCGTGTTTTTGTCTGATCCTTTTGTTTTGCTGCATCTCCTGTGAAATGTGTTTCAGCTGTTTCTCCCACAGGAGAACCGAGTTGATGTTTTTTTTATTTCATCCTTCTGACAAAACAAACTAATAAGACAGAAACAGAATACAGGCACCTTGATAGTGTGTCATAGGAGGAAAAAAGGGCTATAATCATAATATACGGCTGTTTGTTTTTCTTTCAGAGTATAATACAAGATAACCAGTAGAATGACTCACATATCTAACAACAAGTAACTAATTAGCAAAAAGTTCATTATTCTACCATTAATTGTATGTATGAAATACATAATCTATCTACACAGAACGTCATGGGCATTGAAAACACACACGCACAGATTATTAGTGTCATTTTATTATCACCTTTCTCACGAAAGAGAGAGAGAGAGTAATAGAGGGAGGACATGTAGCCGCACAGAAGGAGAAACTGAAAAGTGGGGACGCAGAAATACAAATGCACCTTGTATCAACTGTGTTCCTGCTGTATTTTCACGTTTGGCTGAATTGGATTTTTGAATACCTGTGACAACCGTGACCCTGAAAGAGAAACACTCACACGCACACACACAACACCATCACACACTCACCCACAACAAGCGCACACACTCACCAATCACTTGTCCCTCCATAACCTGGCGGCGGCTACGTCCCTCGGTGCCGGGTTGCCACGGAAACCAAAGTGCAAGGGTTGGCATGGGTATAATAATCTCATATGGAGTGCGTAACCCAGGTGATAGTTGCCTAGTAACAGAGGAATGAAGAGGGGAATTGGGATGGGAGGCTACGGTGGGTCAATGACAGCGATAAGCAGGTGTTTGGAGACGTGTGTGTGTGTGTGTGGATGCTTGCAAGTTTTCACTGTCACTGCCTCCTGGGCTTTCATGCTGCTTACTTATTGTCTGTCCTGCACACACAGACACACAGCGTGCCCAGTCACCCATTTAAGTACAAGGTAGAGCTTTTGTCTGATGTCACCAACCTACGCAGCATCATTTACTCTTGATGGCATTCGGTAAATGAGCTGCACAGACTGGGGTGTTAACACCATACTATGTTGTTGTATTTCACACTTTATCTTTGTCTCTTTGTCCTCCTTGTCCTTGATTCAGTAACAGCCGTGTTACTGCGGGCACTCTATGAAATTCATGAGGACTGGTAGGGTTAGAAGGTTGCTCCACCTAAATTACAAACAAACACATTTTCCTTATTCTTTTCCGTTATCAGTGCATATTTTGAAATTTGCCAACTGCCTTTGAGATTTATTCTTCCACTCCACTACTAATTAAGATGAAAGGAATTTAATTTACTATGCTCAAAGCATTGAAAAGCGATTTGGGTGAACTAACCCTCAAAGGAATTGACTTTTTTTAGCCATTAATTCTAATATGATAAAAATGTTTGTGGCATCCTACAGCTGTGTTGTAACAGGCAGATAGTCAGTCTGATATGGAGCAGTGTACAATGACGGTTAGAGACTGAACCTTTTCAATGCTATTTCCTTCCGCCAGTTAGCAGCCTTCCTGATGGATCAAACTAACATATTTCACCATCAAACCCCCGAAAAAGTGTCGACATGACTGTTATCCTCTCCCTCTCTCTGTTAGACCTTGTACAGGTGTGTTTTAGAAGACCTGTATGAGTTCCCCACACTGGAGAAAGACCTGAAGGAGTTCCAGAAACTTCTGCGTCGCAGACAGTAAGTGTGTTTGTCTCTGCACAAGTACTTTGTTCTCTGTATTGAATATGACTGCCTGTCACTGTGTGCGTGTGTGTGTGTTTTTGTTTTTCCATGCCTACCCGCATCGCTCCTCACCGTTGTGATTATTTCTGTCTTGTAGCACCGTCGATGACTGTCCTCCAAGCCAAAAGGTAAGCCAGAGAGGGGGGGGTGAGGTGGATTAGAGGGAATATTTACTACATCCTTGCTGCTTGACTCTGCCAGCTACATTTTACTGATATAACCTATTATTTAATTGTTCATTATTTCGGCCCTATTTCAGACTCTTAAGCCCTGTACTGTAATGATTCAATCTGAGCTGTGTAGGTGTTGATACAGATGTTATCAGCGCATCGCTATACTAGATGTATATATAGATGTATAATATAGTATTATACATCTCCGTGTTTCTTCTGCTCTCTGTCAGAGTAAACAAATGTATCAGCAGTCGAGTTTGAAGGAAAACTCTTTGCAACTCAGAAGTCCAGCGACTGATACTAGAGAGGGTGAGTAACAGACACACACTCGTACACAACACAAAACACACTGCCCGTGACTGTTCACAATTATGCATAATGGCAGACTGAGTTTTAATTTCACTGTGCACATGTAAATTGCTTAAATACAGCGTGTTTTCTTGTTTTTTTGCTTTAGTACTTGACAAAAATTAACTTTACAGTATTTCAGTTTCTCTGTTTTAGCCTTTTACAGTGTTTACAGTATATGAACAGTACATTCACTGACCTATGACCATTTTCTACATATCTTTCAGTCATTTGTTGCGTGCATGTGAGCGCTGACTCCTACCTGAGTGTCCACGCACACCCCTCACTGGAGGCCCACGAGCTGCTAAGAATTGTGGCTCTGAAGGCGGACAGAGCAGAAGAAGACATGGTGCTTGCTGTGGCGATGCACACTGGAGGTACGCACACAAACACGCAAAGAAATGCATGAAATAGTTTTGGTCGGTTTGGTCAAGTACCTTGGGGTGGCAGAAACTGTATCTTTTTACCCCTGTCTATTAAAACCATTTCTACATGACCTTTAGCTATTTCAACCATTGCAATTAGCTATTTCTATTAACCATTTATCCAATACATTTAACTATTTCAACCGTTATTAAGTTACTTTTAATTAGAATTAACTCTTTGTTCATTACTTTTAGCTATCTAGTTTAATCATGTATCCACTACTTAGCTTTCTTTTATTAGTTGAGCTACAATCCTTCCACGTACTCCTTGGCAACTGCAAAAGTACACCCTGGGGTGCAAGTACCACCGTGTTGGGAATCACTGTCCTACACTCTCGGCTCTAAATTGTTATCATCATCTCTCCTCTGCAGAGCGGAGAGTGTTACAGCCCAGTGACTGTGCGTATTCAGAGTCTATGACCCCACAGGGAAAGCTTGTGGCTTGTCGCCGGGATCTCACTGAGATTCTGGTATGTAAATACTCTGTTGTTTGTGCTTTTGTCTTTCTGCAACACCTCCATGTTTCATAAGCATTCATAGAGGCTAAAGATGCAGATTGCAGGTTTAAAGCAAACCACGACCTCTCAAATATGTGATTATTTGGGCATTAGCTGCTCCTCTGATATTGTCTTCAGGCATGAACATGAATATGCTAAATCCCCAACTGACATATTTTCACAGTGTTACGATGAGTCATGCATTATAAGCAAGCCGGAAAGACTTAGGCCAGGTGATTGTTATTAACTCTGATTCAATAGGAGAGAAAAGGTGTGAGCCACAATTATTTTGTTGTTGCCCAACCGTGACAGCAGGATTGGAAAGTGCTGTATCAGGGCAAAGTGTTATTTTGTAATGGCATGTTTGTCACAGTGGAGCTTCAGCTGTTTGTTCTTAAATAGTTTTTGTAGTATTGGGCATTTTAGGAACTGCAGTTCAAGGGATTTAGGTTTTTTTGGGATAGGTATATTTAGCAGCCTGTCGTTAACAAACCAGTAGATGCTCTACATTTGAACTATTTACTGGTCGGCAATATATAGTTTGGTTTAGCTTATTGTTTGCTGAGTTAATGGTCTATTGTCAGGCTCACAAATGCTGAATTTTAGTTACTGTGACCTGTAACCAGAGCTGTAAAGAACAACTGTGCTGGAGGAATCACCGCTCCCCTCTCAGCTTTCAGTGCTGCTTGTATACAGGCAGGAGGCACTTGCTCTTATGGCTCTGTGCTATATTGTTTCTTTCCCCTACAGGCTCATTGTCCTGTAGGTTATTATGAAGGGGACATATTGTTGCTGTTGCTTATTTAGAGATAGCCCTATTCCTGTAAATAGACAGCCCCTGTGTGTGTGTGTACTGTATGTACTGTATTTGTGTGTCTTTCTATGTACTAGCTTAACTTTCCTTTGTGTGTGCAGCATCCTTTAACGGACAGCGCTGAGCTAAGCAGGAGGCCGGTGCGACTCCTAGGTATTAACACCTGGGATGTGGCAGCTGCTCTCACACACCTGGACTGGAGCCTCTTCAAATCCATCCACGAGGTATATACATACACACACACTCAAATATATGCATGTGGTGTGTGCACATCATTTATAGTTAATTCATATTCATGGCAGAGATTGCTGGAACATAAGCATTAAAGATGCAAATGCTTTGCAAGACTTGCTGGCTCACGAGTACAGAAAGTCTTCTTGCAGCTCAGCGGCTGAATATTTTTTGTGAAAATGCTGAAGCAGAGCACAGATGAAGAGACACAGGCTGCATCTTACACTGTTATGTGGATGTTACAGTATATTTAGGAAGTCTAGGCAATGTTTTTACATTCTCAAATGCTTCTTTTCTTTATTTCTTATGATTGTAAATAGATTTTTTTGGGGAGTTTTTGACTATTGGTCAGACAAGATGTCACCTTGGGCTCTGGAAATGGGACCAGATGTTTTTTGGGGCATTTCTCTAAAATGCTTGATGTCGTTCACTCACACTCTCCCTCCCTCCACATGCAGCAAGAGCTGGCTTACTACACCCTCAGCCGTATTCCTGGTACCGGCCACACGGCGGCGCTCTCAGTGCTGCTCCAGCGCTGTAACGAGGTCCAGCAGTGGGTCATGTCCGAGGTGCTCATGTGTGTGTCGCTCAACAAGAGAGTACAGCTGCTCAAGAAGTTCATCAAGATCGCAGCTCAGTAAGGCCACACAGATGCACCCTCTCAGAAATATACACAGATAAAAGTGCGTGTATCAAACACATTAAGATTTCTATGCACTGTGATATATTTGTTTTAATTCTTTAATTATTTTTGTGTGTCTGTAGTTGTAAAGCCCAAAGAAATTTGAATTCTGCATTTGCCATCATCATGGGCTTAAACACAGCATCTGTCAGCCGACTCAACCAAACCTGGGAGGTAAGAGTTTGTGTTGCTGCGTTTAGTGTATTTATTTATATATATATATATATATATATATATATATAAGTGTTTAAAACTGGATCCTGACCAAACGCCTTCCTTTCAGAAATGTCCGGGGAAGTTCAAGAAGCTTTTCTCAGAGTTGGAGCTCATCACGGTGAGACTTTCATCGACAGAGATGGAAATAGATGCAAAGCTAGAAACACATTCCTCTTTTTTTTGTTTGTTGATAATCTCTTCTCCTTTTCCAATGCTTTCCTTTCACTCTATTTTCTCTCTTCGGTCGTCTTACCCTCATCTTTCTTCAGGATCCATCTTTGAACCACAAAGCCTATAGGGAAGCCTTCAAGAAGATGAAACCTCCCAAGATCCCTTTCATGCCTCTTCTCCTGAAAGGTATTATCTCTAACTCCTCCACACACACACACACACACACACACACACACACACACACTTAATTGCTTTTGTTGAAAGAAGCAATGATAAAACACTTGTCCTCTGCTCTTAGATATCACATTCATCCACGAGGGAAATAAGACCTTCCACGACAACCTGGTCAACTTTGAGAAGCTGGTAAGTTGAGTCAGTGATTGAGTGTCACACAGACAAGGCCACATATTAAAATGATTAAAAAAGATTATTGAAATTAGATGAGTGAAGCGATTGTTGAAATTGTGATCTAGTAACTATCTTTAAAGACATCGCCTTGGATTTTGAGAAACTGGATGGACTTTATCATGTTTAGCCATTTTATAGACCGAGCGATTAATCAAGAAAATAATCCTTATAGCCATTATAGTAAGTGCTATGGTGCAGTAAATATTAGATTGTGACTGTTTGGTATTGCACTGATTCAACATGTCTTCTCCTAATCTGACAGCATATGATCGCAGACACAGTGAGAATGATTCGCCACTGCCAAAGCGACCAGCCGGGTGAGTCTTCTCCCTTCTGAGTGAATTCTGTTGCAAATTATAAGAAAGGCTGACCTACACGGGGCTCTACAGGCTCCTCCCTCTTGTGACAAACGTATTGATGCTCGGATCCATTCATTGTGAGGAATCTGACGCCGCCTGATGCTGAGCTAGTGTACTGCACCTGTACCACTCAGTTCCCTCTTACAGTTTCTAAGCAACCATTTCCAGACTTTTCTTTTACTCTCTTTAAATGGCCATAACACAGCCTGTGTTTGTACCGAATGTGTGTGTTCTCCAGCATTGAAAACTCTTTTGTGTGACTAATGTGCGTGTTTTGTGTCGGTCTCTCAGGCAACGAGGTAATCGGGGTCGACAGTGCGGAGGTGAGGGCGAGCGTTCATTACCTGCACATTATCGACAATCAACAGACGCTTTTCGAGCTGTCGCACAAGCTCGAGCCACGTGCTTAAAGACAGACACACACATACCCTCATAGACGCACAAAACACACTGGACACAGTGGAAAATGCTAGCACCGAGTACGTGTGACATGGAGAAGTCCACACACTGACGACACACACACACAGCAACAAAGTCACACCACCAGCCGGGCGTGCCAAGTGGACAATAAGGTGCCATCACCATGAAGACAGAGCTGCACTCTGCCTGTTCTCTAAAGGCTTTACAACACTTATCCTGTGTTTATAAAAGATATATATATATGGTCAAAAGATTTAAGTCCGTACACGCTTCGTGAAGAGATGCAGCAGCGAGGCGGAGAGTGCCAAACTGGGACGGAGAGAAAAGGAGGTTGTAATTCGTTTGTACAGTATCTATTGGACTGAATAGTTTTGTTATTGTGATAAGCTTTTGTTTATTTATGGGCCTGGTGGAATGTTTCTTTATTTCTGTCTTTTAAGTCTCGCCCCCCCCCCCTCCCGGAGGCCAACAAGGACTTGACCGCCTCTTCATCAGTTACAGACACACAACAATCTTTAGAGCAGTTAGATGTGTTTATTACCTGATGGCCACAATCTGCCCCATCACTGGTCTCACATAATTTCATCTGCATATCAAACACCTGCCTCGTGATGCATGCACACATCCAGGACACATGCCATAGTTATTTAGGTGTATGATGTGGAGCTTTTTTCTGGTTAATGTGTTCGTAGCATATTATGTAAAACAAGCAGCAACCAGGGCCGAAGCAGTTCAACACTTTAACATACCCACATGTTTTAACCTTCTCTCACTGAGGCTTTTTACCGAAATAAATGTGCAGCCTCAGTGAGTGACAAAAGGTGCGACGTCGACAGTGTCTGGCATTTGAAGGAGGCTTTGTGGGAGGTTTTTTATTGACTGACTGTGCTGTTGGAAACGCTCGAGCTCTCCTGAACGTGCCAGAGTTCATAAACTGCTGATAAATAGTGAATGGTTTTTGGTTCTCCTTTACGTTTTAGAGTCCTGGTTGACGCTCCTCGTGCACTCTTATCTATGATGTTTTTGTGTGAAGCGATAAGGATCATTTTACATTGTATATAATATGGACCTATATATTTTCCAGTGCCAAATGTCACACTGAGTCCTGCAGCATAGATGTACTGTAGATCTCTTGGTTTGTTTAGCAGTCTGTGTTTGTTTGTTTTTACCACAGGATTTGATTTCCTTCACTGAGCCCTGCAGTCACGTCTGATCTGTGATCATGTAAAACAGATCAGACTGCTCGCAGAGATGCTTTCTGACATTATGACGACTGATTTCAGGGTCTGTGATGTTGCTATGGAAACACAGCCTCATCACCGAGCTATTTGTCTTTTCTTATCAACAGATAAGTTAAGCACCACATACCTTTGAGAAGACATAGCTTCATTCACGAAAATCATGTTCATGAGGAGATTCATGGTCATTCTTACTGACTGAAAATATCACTTCATTCAGAAGTGGTCTTGTGTAAACCATCTGTCAAAACCAACACAGGGTGTGGACAGAATAATGGAAGCACAAGGGCACAGGCCGTTATAGTAAGACTGTCTCTTCGGAGTTTTACAGCTTTGGTTCACCAAATATTTCACTCTTAACATCCTTTCTGAACCAAACAGATCCTCAAAACAGCTTCCCATTGATATTGCCATGACACGTGTAAACACATCTATTTGTTATTCAAATGACTGAGGGACCAGTCTGTAGTCACCAGAAAAGAAGACGCTCCCTCTAAACCCACAACATCCCATCTGGCAGACCCTGTTTGTGTTATTTTGTCCTGTATATGTTCGTGCACAGACCAGTGGTACATTTTTGCTGAGTAGGAGGAAACATCCAAAGGCAAGATAAATCCTGAATGTTTTGTAGCAGTGCATGTCCTGCATTGTTTGGATAGTTATAAGTGCAATACAGTGGAAATGTCACCGTTTCAACACTAAGCCTTTCAGACCACATATAGCTGCTTTCTTCTGCAGATCATAATGAATCAAATGGACGAGGGAGGACTGGGATCTCCCAAACAGCTTTAGCGCCAAAAACATCGTTGGGACCATTTAAAAGAAAAAGATCAGAGATGATCTCAAGACTCACTTCTAAATATAATCAGTGTGTTATGAGCAGCGTAGCCACTGTGCTGTAAAAACAGACTCTAACCTGTTGCCACCAACACATCTGATGCTCTGACCATGAATGTGGAGCCAGTTTTGTGGACACTGTTGTGTTCAACCAAATTGATTAATACATTGAAAAAGTACTTGGGTCATTTAAGTATTTGATTTTATGTGGATGTAGGATTAAGTGTTACATGTGAATCTTGGAGATTGTTTCCCTCCAGGAGTTACTCAAATCCACAAATATTTCATAAACCATTGAAGATTATAAGAATAACATTCATTTTAAAAAATGGTGGATTTCCCTCTTTAAAGGGAGACTATGTAACATTTGCTATACGTCTAAGTTTTGCTAACGGTAGCCACCATCGGTTATACCAGACCAAGTGAGGCTGGACTGCAGCAAAACCCCCGAGTGTGTTGACTTGAGCAACAAGTTGTTTCATTGCTTGTAAGGTGCATCGTCTCATTTTGAAGATGCTTTCTGTGAAACCAAGTCAGCGACTCTTAGGCTGCTCGAGCTGATGAGTCAGAGCCATGGTCTGTTGGTATTCAGTGTCATACAAAGGCCTTGTGGTAGTCATTTTTACCATTAACCTGTACATGACGCACACATGCACAAATACACCTCTGCTCATTGTGTTTAAAGAGCAGTATAATTGTGCTATATTACTTATTTATTGTAATATATTGTTTATTTATGTATTTTTGAGGTGACAAAAGGTCATGTGCCATGTTTAGAGGTTCAACAATGTGTCGGTTCATTCTTGAGAAGACAAGTCTGTGGTTTGAAGCTGCAACGCTGGAATGTAAAAGTACTTGTAGTTCTGTTTTTCTTCTCTTTCCTCTGGAGTCAGATGCTGTAGCGGACAGGAAACCAACAGGAAGGTGTATTTAGTGTTTTATCGGCCGTAGTCATGACTGTAAAGTTACGTTTTTTTAAAGCAATGTTTAGAACCTGTTTGCATGTTAAAACAAAAAACACAAAGTTCACAATGCAAGATAGGACACATTGAAGGCTTTGTACTATTGTAATATTGTTGATGTGTACATATATGCCCATGTTTGGTATGTTGTTATTATTTATCAGTTGTAAATGAAAAATTGGTCAGTCTCAAAGCAATACGTCTCCCCTCGTGTCCCCTCAACCTTCTGACAGCTGAAGCCACATGTCTTTTCTAAAGCAGCGTTTTACTATGTCAACATTTGACTGAAATTAATAAATTATAGGTTTTATGTGACATCTGATGAGCTTGTTGTCTTTCTTTGGCTTATGTTCAGATACTGGGTAAATGTGTACAAGGGAAAGTGTTGACCAAGTGCCTTTGACCACTGATATCACACCAACAGTGCAGACATCCTCTCCTAAGCATATAAAATAAGGTTGAGTTGCCTTCAACATACAAACATTCATAAAGCACATGGTCTTATCATATCACTTGATGCTGAGAAGACCTTTGATGGAATAGAGTACTTGTTTAGTATCATTCTGATCTTGGGGAGTGCCTCAGTATGGTTTTCTTGTGTTTCTCTGTCCCTGTCCCCTGTTTGAGTTCACAAGCCTCCTGTGCAGTATAGTTTTTTGTTGTTGTCATAATCATTGCTTGACCCCACACATCAAACATCCAAAATCAAAGATATTTTAGAAAGCAGTGTGGTCTGACAATTTGCCCCATTGCACCATTTGTGCTGCGGGGTCTTTTTGACCCCAGAGGACAACAGAAGTTATTCAATTCAATAAATCACCCATAATAAGCTCAAATTACTTCCAATTCCTTTTAATCATTAAGAGCATAGTATCGAACAACCCCCATTATTTTCAGACCATTTGATGAATAAAAAACACATTTTGACAGCAAAAGATTTAATTTGGGGTCAGAATGACCCCAGGATAACACAAGGGTTAAACAAACACTAGAGCTGTAATTAATGTGCCAGAGTTCTGTCAATGAATCGTTATTTCCATCTCTGTTCCAGACTCTGTGCCATATTAAATATTGGAAAAGCAGCTGTTGCAACACAAGAGCACTGCCTGTCCAG